TTCAGGAAACTCAACGACAACCGTCTTGCGGGGACGATACCTAGCTGCAATCACCATACTCACTAATCTCTCATACCTGTCAGTGTTACCTCCTCTTGTCGTCACCAACACTCATGCACTATTTTGTCAATAATCTAAAATGTGGTTGAGTAATCTGGAGAGCATTGGTTGTGTTGCCTGCTGAGTCCACTCAAAATACATTTCTGCTGGGTCACCTTTGGTTTGAATTCCGCTGAAACATACAGTTCTAGCCCACTCAATGCAATTACTCCAAACAACTGTCAGTGCTACCCATCTCTTCTCTGTGAAACGCCACCCCTACTGCTCACTTTCTGCCACACACACATCTCTTCCTTTCTACCATCGACACATCTCTTCCTTTCTACCATCGACACATCTCTTCCTTTCTACCATCAACACATTTTCTTCCTTTCTTCCACCCACACGTCTCTTTTCTTATCATCACCTTGTTTCTTTACAAGGGGTTTTTTTTAGCAAGCCTATGACAACACAGCAACATCTCTTTACTAAACTACAGCTGCTATCTCTTCCTTTCTGCTTGCTGAAGGCCGCAAATTGATGGGTGTCAACTCCATCAACGTTCTGATTGAATGGCATTCACTCCTTTCTGATTGAATGGCATTCCACTCCTTTCTGATTTAATGACATCCACTTCCTTTCTGATTGAATGGCATCCACTCCTTTCTGTATTTAATGAATCACTCCTTTCTGATTGAATGGCAATCCACTCCTTTCTGATTGAATGGCATCCACTCCTTTCTGATTTAATGGCATCCGATCACCACTCCTTTCTGATTGAATGGCATCCACTCCTTTCTGATTTAATGACATCCACTCCTTTCTGATTGAATGTCATCCACCCCTTTCTGATTGAATGTCATCCACTCCTTTCTGATTGAATGTCATTCACTCCAAAGAAATGATGGGAGGAATCACACAGCAGTAACACACTCAGCTGATCCCACACAGCACTAACACACTCAGTTGCTAACACACTCAGCTGATCCCACACAGCGCTGAAATTGGATTCAGCTGATCCCACACAGCGCTGAAATTGGATTCAGCTGATCCCACACAGCACTGAAATTGGATTTGCTGACTCAACACGCACAGCTGATGATGTCAAACAGCATGCCCCGGAAGAGGTACTCCATTCAGCGAGATTACTTTTGAGTCGAGTCAAAGGCTGATGCCACACGGCATGCCCCGGAAGAGGTACTCCATTCAGCGAGATTACTTTTGAGTCGAGTCAAAGGCTGATGCCACACGGCATGCCCCGGAAGAGGTTACCCCAATCAACACGCACATGCTACTCCCTGTCAAGACACACAAGCAGACTCCTCCTTCCCACCCACCGCTATCCCGTCCCGCCTTCTTTTTGCACCACAGGCAAGAGGAGAGCTGCCCTCCTTCCGCCACATGGCCCTCCTCACATGGAGTTTTGAGACATCTCTAAAGCTCGCCTTGACAACGACCAGCTTACGGGAGAGCTGCCCCTCCTTCCGCCACGTCACCCAACTCACATCGCTAGACAGGCTGTCTGCTGCTTACAACTACCTCACAGCCACAGCCACAACTACTCTCTCCCTCCCACCTTCCCCTGGCACCACAGGCACCTTGACAACAACCAGCTCACGGGAGAGCTGCCCTCCTTCCACCACATCACCCAACTCACATCGCTAGACAGACTGTCTGTTGCCTACAACTACCTCACAGCCACAGCAGACGCCTTCCCGTTCAACACGCACCAGCCCAGACCCAGACGACCCCTCAGGAGGCCACAGCTCGTGCGTTATTCACCCACAACTGCCTGAGTGGGTCCTACTGCGGCCATGGGCTGAAACCAGAGGCGTGACAGTGAGTGGCCCGGGCGTTCTGTGGGGGTGCAAGTTGCCAGCCGCTCAAAGAGCAGAGGCTCACCCCCCCGTGCAGCGGGCATGGCATGTTGCTCCTTTGTGCCGGACCCGTCTCACACCATGTATCCTTGTGATGAAGCGAGGAGTTCTGGGCCACCCCTACTGTGAACCTGTGGGGCAGTGCACCTGTGATGACGAGGTACACGCCAGGGACTGCATTGCTGGCACGTGCGTCTCTCACGATACCCTGCTGGTGCCTCAAGGTATGCTTGCAGATTTAATGCCCTCGCTAGGTGATGTGTTATCTCTGTTCCTTTTTTGGCCCTTAGTTCGTCCTTGCTGCATCTTGTTTTTCAATCCCTTCTTGCCAACATGCCCCACGTGCCTCGTGGCTTCCACGGCCTGTGGAAGGGACTCAGTAGGCCATGGGAGAGTGGCCATGGGAGAGTGGCCGAGCGACGCCTCCTAGCCAGTTCAGCCCGTGGGCTCGCACTGGGTAGTGTGACTCGTGCTGGGTAGTGTGGCTCGTGCTGGGTAGTGTGACTCGTGCTGGGTAGTGTGACTCGTGCTGGGTAGTGTGACTCGTGCTGGTTAGTGTGACTCGTGCTGGGTAGTGTGACTCGTGCTGGGTAGTGTGACTCGTGCTGGGTAGTGTGACTCGTGCTGGGTAGTGTGACTCGTGCTGGGTAGTGTGACTCGTGCTGGGTAGTGTGACTCGTGCTGGGTAGTGTGACTCGTGCTGGGTAGTGTGACTCGTGCTGGGTAGTGTGACTCGTGCTGGGTAGTGTGACTCGTGCTGGGTAGTGTGACTCGTGCTGGTTAGTGTGACTCGTGCTGGGTAGTGTGACTCGTGCTGGGTAGTGTGACTCGTGCTGGGTAGTGTGACTCGTGCTGGGTAGTGTGATCGGGGTCGTGTGGACTCGTGCTGGGTAGTGGGACTCGTGCTGGGTAGTGTGACTCTTGCTGGGTAGTGTGACTCGTGCTGGGTAGTGTGACTCGTGCGGGGTAGGTGTGACTTCTATGCTGGGGTGTGAGGGGGTAGTGGTGACTCGCGCTTCCTCCGCTTGGACACACTGAGTCGATTTTGAGCCGCCTAAAAAAATGGAAACGTGTGCTGACGGGTCAGACCTCTGGCTCTCCACTCAAGCCACACCTGCGTCCCGTGTGTGTTTGCGCCTCTGTGAGCCTCTGTGTGCCATGCTGATCAACCATGGTGAGCCTCTGTGAGCCTTTCTCCACATTCGTTACTTACCATCCCAAACACCTTGAGTTCAGCCCCACCCTGCCATATCGGCTTGTCGCGCTTAAATCTTGCTTTGTACTGTGTGTACCATGCTGTACCGTGCTGACAGGAACACCAATCCAAAGCCCTGTCGACAATCCTGACTACCAGCCAGACAGAATCAAGAATCCTCCTAACGGCAAGTGGCACCATACAACGGGGCGCTTGTTCCTCATAAGCATAGCAGTTGCCATTGGGGTTGTGCTTGTTTGTTCTGTGGGCCAATGCACCCACCCACAACCGTCAAGACCTCACTGTTCTTATCGCATCCCGACTTCTATCACGTGCAACTCAACTCCAGTCCCACTGCCCCATCTCCATCACAACCTTTGTGAACCATGTTCACATCCCACTGCACTCCCACATCATAATGCTCCTTCTTTGCCTGCATCCGCTCCTCCCAGCCTCCCGCCCTCTCTTCATCCATCCTGCAGGCACCAACTTCCCCTTTGAGCCGCCAGGCACTACCATCGTGGGGTTGATTCTGTCTGATCTCCAGGCGCCTAAAAACCTGCTGCTGCTCTTGCTCCTTCTTCCACCGCTGTTGCTGGCCTTCTCACTGCCACATCTTCTGAGGCGCCTCAAGAATCTGACCGTCCACGCGCTACTTTTTTTCAAAGAGAGCCCTCGCTGCCCAGCAAGCTGCCATGGGTGTGGAGATTACTTGCCAGTGCAGGACTGTTATGCAGGAATAATCTGTACACGTTGATGGGACCATGTGCCATGTGGGAATGAATTTTGTAGCGAGATGAGTCTTTAGATAATGCTTTGGATTTTATTCCTTTGAAGCGTATGCGTTATTGCTTTTTTCATTCTGTCTCTGACAAAATAGAACTGAAATCAGAAACGAAGAATGTGGGTACGGCGATGCTACCTTTGCTGCATTGTCAACGTCTCTGCTTTCAAAATATTTCTTTTTTTAGAAAGTGTTTCATTTTCAAGATTTATCATTTATGCATGCGAACCTCCTATGAAAACAAACAAACCATGGTGTCGAGCGACAAGCCAAGCAATCACTCAAACAAATATGGTGCTGTGAAGGGCATTGTGATGCCAACCCTTGATTCCATAGTGCAAGAAAAACCCATGTAGCCGCACTTTCTGTTTCCCAATTTTCAGTCCTTTCTCGCATGGTCCCATCCTGCGTACACAAACTCCTTGGCAAACTCCTGCACCTTCCAGGCAGCAGCAGCGGCGGGCCACAGCCAGCAGAGCAAGCGGCACACGAGCACGCAGGGAGGTGGAGGCGGCAGCAGCAGCAGCAGCGGAGAGCAACGAGACGGCGGGCAGCAGCAGCTGGAGGCACTGCAGGTTGGCGAAGGTGGCGGAGCAGGATGTGCAGTGGGCGGTGTGCGAGGCCATGCGCTCCAACACACCTCCTTGGCGGCCGGCTGGGGGGGCAGCGACACATCTGAGAAGGCCGGCGGGTACTCCACGGCTCCACCTGGTGCACGTGGGAAGGAGGTTGTGGACAGATGGATGACATGTACAGGTCAGGTTGATGGTGGACAGAAGCATTAACAGGTGAGGCAAGACGGGATGGCATACGGCACGACAAGGAGGGATGGCACGAGAGGGAAAACAAAAAAGTAGAAGTTTGAAATATAAAGCTAGCCAAGTATGCTAGTTGGCCCTCAAGTAAGCTCTGGTGTGTTGGTCATTCTCAGCCTCGCTAGCCTTGCGCTCTCGTTGGTTAACCAAAGCAATTGGCTATACTCGTTTCACCCAATCGGGACATCCATGACATCAGAAAGCACAGGCACATATTATCTCCAAGCAAGCACAGCTGGCAAGAAATACCTGAAAAGGATCCTACTTACTACACAACCACCTGGCTCCTCTCATGAAGCAACCACTCGTGTTCGGGACACACCTGCATATTTGGAGAGCCATTGCCGGAAGGCAACCACAGGGAGGTCAGCGTTGGTGGGCATGTAAAACGCCCTCCACGCGCTCCCCCTCACAACCCCTGCGCCCCCCGCTTCACTTCGCCCACCCTCCGCCGCACCTCCCCCCTGCTGTGCCCCGCCCTTGCTCGCCCGCGCCTCCTCCATCTGCTGCTCCCTCTCCTGCAGCACTCGCTCCTGGCAGTGCAGGAAGTAGGAATCGCCTGATGGGCATGGCGCGGGACACACATGGCACCCCAGGTGATGTGACAAGAACCGGAAAGAACACCACAATCATAAGGCTATCATCTGTGATCACTGATTCCGTCACCGCATCGTACACCTGGTGCAAGCGGAGGTGCCGCACTCACCATCGTATATCTGGTGCAGGCCGATGTGCCGCAGCCAGCGCGCATGGAGGGCAGCTTCTTGCCGTCGCCGGGCCTGACCAGGTTCACCTGCACGACGATGCTGCTGCCCGGCGCGCTGGGCGTGATGTACAGCAGCAGCACCAAGCTCGTGTTCGCCGCGGCCTTCCTCTGCAGGAAGGGGAACTTGGGGGGCGGCGGGCTGGGGGGGAAGGGGAGAAGGGAGGGGGGAGATGGCTTTTGAGTGAGTCGACTAAAAAACACACCAGGTTCACATGCACGACGATGCTGCTGCCCGGTGCGCTGGGCGTGATGTACAGCAGCAGCACCAAGCTCGTGTTTGCCGCGGCCTTCCTCTGCAGGAAGGGGAACTTGGGGGGCGGCGGGCTGGGGGGGGAAGGGGAGAAGGGAGGGGGGAGATGGCTTTTGAGTCGACTCAAAAACTGACCAGGTTCACCTGCACGAAGATGCTGCTGCCCGGTGCGCTAGGCGTGATGTACAGCAGCAGCACCAAGCTCGTGTTCGCCGCTGCTGCCCCGGCGGAACCCCACTTAGGAGGCATGACTTTGCGTGGCAGCAGCTTGTTTAGTAAAATGTTTTTTGTGTTGGTAGGCTTGCTTAGGACCTTTGTAGAAAAAATATTGGTGGTAACTAGTTTCGGCTTTGAGCCTTCTTCAGACCACAAAGGAGAAAAAGAGAAAGCAAGCACCCTAAATACCAAAGCCCGAGGCTCCGACGCGAGGCATTCCTTCGCGGGGCTGGGATGGCAGGGAAAATCTAGATAGAAACAATAGAAATGAAATCTACAGTAAGCTAGCACTTATGAGCAGAAATTATATAATTGCCTACTCGTTTAGGTAACCTCCATGCGATGATGTTTCTTCTTGTAGAAAATACTCCGTGTGACATTGTAACGAGATGACTTTTGAGTCGACTCAAAATGTTCCCCAGGTGCGAACGGTCAACCAGCAGGTTGAGCAGAAGTTTCAGCACGAGGGGGCCACGGGTAGAAGAATTGCGCAAAGCGGAGGCACGTTGGAGTAATTCCCCACGGTTGGAGAAAAGCACTGTCTTGAAGATTGGAAGGAGAAACTTCTCAGGATGCCCACGTGCTCGTAAACGAGCAAAGAAAAGTGCGCGGGAGTGTAAGAAGTCAGTGCGTGAAGAGGAGCGTAGCAGGAAACGCTGTAGCTCACTCCGAATGAAACCCAGTTTGGTGGTGCGAGTATGGTAGGATTTAAACGGCAGGTATAAGTACCGGTTCATTGGCTTCTGGTACAGCTTCATGTCGAGTGTTCCAGTAGTAGAGAACCGTTCCCCCTTGAAAACCGTAAGATCCAGAAAGTCCATGGTAACGTCAGAAACCACCCAGGTTAGTCGAATTGAAGGATGTAAAGAATCGAACCGTTGACGAAAGCACGAAAAGTCTTCCTTTGTTCCCTCCCACAGAATGAGACCATTGTCAATAAAGCGAAAGTGGAGAGCGGGAGAAAAACGAAGCGAAGCGTGCAGTTGAATGTCAAGGTAGCTCAGGAAAAGCACCGCGAAGCAAACAGCCACTGAAGTGCCCATCGCAGTGCCTTGAATCTGGCGGAAAAAACCGGCCGTTGTAAGAAACGTAGCTGTTGAACATCACCCATCTGAGCAAACGGACGATGACTGGGGCCAATGGATGTCTCTCCTTTTGAAGAAAAAAGGCGACAGCGTCTATCCCGTCCCACAAGGGAATTGACGGGTAGAGCGATTCCACGTCATAAGACGCCAGCAGCATGTTAGGTGAAAATGAAAATGAACATTGCTCGAGATGAAGAATCAGGCTCTGGGAGTCCTTAACATAGGTCGGCTGTTTGAGGACCAACGGGCGTAGGACTGAATCCAGCCAGCGAGAAACGTTAGTAATTATCCAAGAATGGCAAGCCGCGATAGGCCTCCCAACAGGAATTTTCTTATGGATTTTCAGCAGCACGTAGAAAGCTGGAACCTTCCAGCCATTCTTAGGTTGATGAAAGAAGAATCCCAAATTCTGGATTTAATGACACAGCTCCACTCAGATCGAATAGAATGAAGCTCTTGGAGAATGTTAGTAATGGGAACCGTCGAGTATTCCTTGTAGACCGTGTTATTGAGCAGATGCTTCAGACATTGATCCTGATAGTATTCTCTGCTCATGACAGTTAGTCCAAGGTTTTTTTTCCGCCGGCTTGAAAATGAGATTAGGATTGTTAGCAAGTCGTCGCAGCATCGGGAGCACGTTCTTAGACTTCCGTGTGAGTGAAGTGAAAGTTTGTCCAGCAATTTCTTTAACGGCTGCTTCTTTAAACACCTCCAGCGCGGCTTCAATTTCAGGTGAGGCTGGTGGAGGGTTCCAGTTAGTTCTCTTAGGTAGCTTGTACCCTGAGTAACCGAAAGAGTCAGATCCATTAAACAGGTACATGGTACAAACACTTCTAAAGAAATCAGAGATCTCTGCTTCGAAACTGGCGACAGTACAAATTACAGGTACGGGGATGAATTTCAGTCCAAGGCGCAGAAGATTAAGTTCCTGTCGTGTGAAAGAATGATCACTGTAGTTATGGATACCGCGGTTGGTGATCCGACATTGCAGTTGGTACTCGGTTTGTCTTCCGAAGAGCACCAAAGCAAATGAGTGCACATCACCCATTACTGTCGAGTCGTTTTTCTGCGGCCTCCGCCTCCCCCGTTTTTTGTCACAGGTTCCTTGCGGGATGAAAAGGAGGAGGAGCCGTTGCGTCCAGTCGACTTAGAGCCGTTGCGAGCAGCTGTCTTAGAGTAAGAGCGACCCACGGTTTTAACCGCTGATGCTTCTGCTTCGTCAACCTTCTGCTTCATCTTGAGTCTGCTTCCCAGTCTTTTTGCCATTAAGGCCCTTGTCATTGGATTTGCCGTTGGCTTTCGGAGTCGAACGAGACTTCTTGCCTGTGCAGGCGTTTTTCCTGACATGGATACCGGAAATGTTAGACTTAGATTTAGGATTTCCAGAAAAAGCAGCCTTATCCTTGTTGTTGTAGCCGGTCTTTCTCGCAGGTGTCTTAGTCGAAGGCTGCTTCATGAATTTCTGCACCTCTTGACGAGCGATCTCACGGACCGTAGGTTCAACCGGCAGGTTCTCAGCTTCCTCAACAGCAGCCGTTTTCTTAGCGTCAAGCTCCTCCTTCTTCTGTTTCAGGAGGACTTCCGCCATGTTGGTTTCCATGTAGACAATCGAAACGGAATCCTTAAACTCCGTCAGAACGCGTGCCTTGAAAACATCTAGGCTGTCAATGAGTTTTGGGTTCTTTATGCCGAGATCTGACTTCTTGTTCAGGTTGATGAAGTTATCGATGTGATGAATGAGTGACTGATAAACAGCACAGGCGTCGCTGAAGGCCTTATCAGCAGCTTTCTTCTTCATTGAAATGAGAATATTCTGCGTACTCTGGCAATATGCCAATTTAGCGGCTTCCAGGTCCTTATCTGCTTCTTGACGAATATCTTCAGCATGGCAGACGAAGTTGAAGGATTTAATCCGAATAGAATGCGGGATGATACCGCTCTTCTTCTGCTCCTCCATAAAATTGTATTGCTGCAGCAGCGTCCGATACTTCATAAAATGCCTTTTGAAGTCACTGACGGCTTGAGACTTAAGTGTCTTAAAAATGGCTGGTGTAGCCTGCTGATCCAGAAACGATGCGTTAATATCACCGAGAAAATCAAGTGAATCCAGCATGATAGTGTCACGAGTGACAGAGTCCTGGATTCCTTGGACTGCTTCCTGCTCCGGAACCGTCGTGGTAGCATTAGTAGCCATCGTAACGGGAGTAATTCCAGGAGCGTCAATGGACTTTGCGAGAGTAGCACCAGAAGTGTCAAGACCTCTCTTCTTGCAATGTCGAGAAGCAGAAGGAGACTGTGGAAAGTCCCCTTGGCTGACCGGCTTTTTATCCTGGCCGAGCTGCGAAATTCTTCGCGATGCTCTCAATGGCCTTGGGATAGTCGGGACGCGGTCAGCATTGTTCGTAGTAGTGTTTGTAGTAGTGTTTGATGCGTTAAACGTGTAGCCGGCCATCGCAGTAGTATCAACTGACAGTCCAATGGAACCCCACTTAGGAGGCATGACTTTGCGTGGCAAGCAGCTTGTTTAGTAAAAATGTTTTTTGTGTTGGTAGGCTTGCTTAGGACCTTTGTAGAAAAAAATCTTGGTGGTAACTAGTTTCGGCTTTGAGCCTTCTTCAGACCACAAAGGAGAAAAAGAGAAAGCAAGCACCCTAAATACCAAAGCCCGAGGCTCCAACGCAAGGCATTCCTTCGCGGGGCTGGGATGGCAGGGAAAAGCTAGATAGAAACAGTAGAAATGGAATCTACAGTAAGCTAGCACTTATGAGCAGAAATTAGATAATTGCCTACTCGTTTAGGTAACCTCCATGCGATGATGTTTCTTCTTGTAGAAAATACTCCGTGTGACATTGTAACAAGATGACTTTTGAGTCGACTCAAAATGACTTTTGAGTCGACTCAAAAGTCACCAAGCTCGTGTTTGCTGCTGCTGCCCCAGCCTTCCTCTGCAGGAAGGAGAACTTGGGGGGCGGCGGGCTGGCAGGAGAGGGGGGAAGGGAGCGGGAGGAGGGTGGAATGGGGAAAGCGAGGAGTAGAAGGGGAGGTGGAAAGTGAGGGTGGGATAAAAGCGGGGGTGGACGGGGAGGAGAGATGTGGGGATGGGGGGTAGGGTGAAAAGGGTGGATGTCATGGTGTTGTGGCGGGGGCGGCACGTCATGGTGTTGTGGTGTTGTGCGGTACCTTACGGTGCTGTGGTAGAAGACGAGTTGGGGCGCCTGGAAGCGGAGGTACGTGGGGAAGCCAAACACGTGGATGGGCCCCTCAAAGCCCTTCACGCCCTGCAGGCGGGCAGTGCAGAGGCAGTAGAGGGCAGGTGAGGGCAGTGCAGGCAGGGCGAGCGCAGTGCAGGCAGGGCGAGCACAAGCACAAACAGTGAAGTGCAAATCTTGTATACGGATGTCTATGTGTGTGCAGCGCAAGTGCATGTGAGTGTGTACGCATCACTGCATGTGCAAGCCTCTCTGCATGTGCAAGTCTCTCTGCATGTGCAAACCTCTCTGCATGTGCAAGTCTCTCTACATGTACAAGTCTCTCTGCATGTGCAAACCTCTCTGCATGTGCAAGTCTCTCTGCATGTGCATGCCTCTCTGCATGTGCAAGTCTCTCTGCATGTGCATGCCTCTCTGCATGTGCATGCCTCTCTGCATGTGCATGCCTCTCTGCATGTGCACGCCTCTCTGCATGTGCATGCCTCTCTGCAAGTGCAAGCCTCTCTGCATGTGCATGCCTCTCTGCATGTGCACGCCTCTCTGCATGTGCATGCCTCTCTGCATGTGCAAGTCTCTCTGCATGTGCATGCCTCTCTGCATGTGCAAGTCTCTCTGCATGTGCAAGCCTCTCTGCATGTGCAAGTCTCTCTGCATGTGCATGCCTCTCTGCATGTGCAAGTCTCTCTGCATGTGCATGCCTCTCTGCATGTGCACGCCTCTCTGCATGTGCACGCCTCTCTGCACGTGCATGCCTCTCTGCATGTGCAAGCCTCTCTGAGTGTGCAAACGGCATCCCCCCATCACACAGAAACCTCCCTGCCCACCGCCGCGCCGCACCGATTGTGTCATGCCGATGTTGTTGATAGGGCCGCCCTTGTCGCGGGTGGTCATGCCGACGCCGTGGTGGGCGAAGGGGAAGTGGGAGAGGTCCACCACATTCTCCACCAGAACCTCATACCCGTACGCCAGGCGCCGCGTGTAGTGCGGCAGCACCTCGTACTCGTCCCACTCCACCCCGTGCGGCAGCGGCAGTGGCGTCGCCTCCGCCTGCTCTGCCGAATGCTCATTTGGCCACACGAACAGCACCCCCTGGGGTGGGCGGGGGGAAGTGGGGGCAAGGGAGGGGGAGTAACGGGCGCGCAGCGGGGAGAGTGGGGGCGATTGGCTGGGTGGACTGTTGAGAAGCGACGGACAAGCCGATGCGCCCCTGTGGGCATTGGGAGGGGAGGGGAGGCACAGTTGTCTCTCACCACTGCCCCTCCTCCCCTCGCCCCTAACCCACTTGCTCTGCGGACACGCACAGGCAAGCCGAGCAGCCGAGCAGCCGCCCGCTTTGCCCTTCTCCTTGCCATCTCGCCACTCTCATGCCCTTCTCCTTGCTCGGACTACCCCAGCATGATGCCTTCAGGCTCCAGCTCTCGCTGTTAGCTAGGCACAGTGGGTTATTGCGACCTGCCTTTCATGACCTGCGACCCACGGATGATAAGCTTCCTATTGTGTATGTAGCCCGTGACACGTGCGGCACTCACGTGGAACTCCCTCACGGGGAAGGCAGTGGCGCATGCGCGCGGGGAGCACACGGCGCGGGGGGGCTGGCCGGGGTGCTCCGGGGCGGCCTGCGGGATGAGCTCGCACGCGCCGCTGCCTGCAAACGCCCACCCGTGGTACGAACACGCCAGCCGCCCCTCCGCGTCTATGCGGCCCTGTGGCCGTGCCGTTGGGAGGGGGCGGGGTGAGAGGAGGTGGGTGAGCCGGGAACAGGTGATGGGAATACATGTGGTGGGCATCCGCTGCGCCTATAACACCTCCATTCTGACCCAGCGGGTAGAGGGGTACGCCCACCCGTGGTACGAACACGCCAACCGCCCTGATGAGTCTATGCGCCCCTGTGGCCGTTGGGCAGGGGGGGAGGGGGGAGGGGGGGGGTTGGGAAAGTGATAAGATTGAGGTGGGTGCGATGGGAACAGGTGTGGTGGGAAGAGGTGCGGTGGGAACAGGTGCGATGGGAATAGGTGCGATGGGAACAGGTGCGATGGGAACAGGTGCGATGGGAACAGGTGCGATGGGAACAGGTGCGATGGGAACAGGTGCGATGGGAACAGGTGCGATGGGAACAGGTTGCGATGCGAACCAGGTGCGATGGCGAACAGGTGGCGAGTGGGAAACAGGTGGCGATGGGAACAGGTGCGATGGGAACAGGTTGCGATGGGAACAGGTGCGAGGGAACAGGTGCGATGGGGAACAGGTGCGATGGAACAGGTGGCGATGGGAACAGGTGCGATTGGAACAGGTGCGATGGGAACAGGTGCGATGGGAACAAGGTGAGATGGGAACAGGTGCGATTGGGAAGCAGGTGCGATGGGAAACAGGTGCGATGGGAACAGTGCTGATGGGAAACAAGGTGCGATGGGAACGAGGTGCGATGGGAACAGGGTGGCATTGGAAACAGTGCGATGAACAGGTGCGATGGGAACAGGTGCGAGTGGGAACAGGTGCGATGGGACAACATGTGGCGATGGGAACAGGGTGAAGGGGCATGGGGAACAGGTGCGATGGGAACAGGTGCGATGGGAACAGGTGCGATGGGAACAGGTGGCGATGGGAACAGGTGCGATGGGACACAGGTGCGATGGGAACAGGTGCGATGGGAAGCAGGTGCGATGGGAACATGAGATGGAACAGTGCGATGGGAACAGGTGGCGATGGGACAGGTGCGATGGGAAACATGTGCGATGGAAAAGGTGCGATGGGAACAGGTGCGATGGGAACAGGTGCGATGGGAACAGGTGCGATGGGAACAGGTGCGATGGAACAGGTGCGATGGGAACAGGTGCGATGGGAACAGGTGCGATGGGAACAGGTGCGATGGGAACAGGTGCGATGGGAACAGGTGCGATGGGACACAGGGTGCGATGGGAAACAGGTGCGATGGGAACAGGTGCCGATGGGAACAGGTGCGATGGGAACAGGTGCGATGGGAACAGGTGCGATGGGAACAGGTGGCGATGGGAACAGGTGCGATGGGAACAGGTGCGATGGGAACAGGTGCGATGGGAACAGGTGCGATGGGAACAGGTGCGATGGGAACAGGTGCGATGGGAACAGGTGCGATGGGAACAGGTGCGATGGGAAAGGTGCGATGGGAACAGGTGCGATGGGAACAGGTGCGATGGGAACAGGTGCGATGGGAACAGGTGCGATGGGAACAGGTGCGATGGGAACAGGTGCGATGGGAACAGGTGCGATGGGAACAGGTGCGATGGGAACAGGTGCGATGGGAACAGGTGCGATGGGAACAGGTGCGATGGGAACAGGTGCGATGGGAACAGGTGCGATGGGAACAGGTGCGATGGGAACAGGTGCGATGGGAACAGGTGCGATGGGAACAGGTGCGATGGGAACAGGTGCGATGGGAACAGGTGCGATGGGAACAGGTGCGATGGGAACAGGTGCGATGGGAACAGGTGCGATGGGAACAGGTGCGATGGGAACAGGTGCGATGGGAACAGGTGCGATGGGAACAGGTGCGATGGGAACAGGTGCGATGGGAACAGGTGCGATGGGAACAGGTGCGATGGGAACAGGTGCGATGGGAACAGGTGCGATGGGAACAGGTGCGATGGGAAAGGTGCGATGGGAACAGGTGCGATGGGAACAGGTGCGATGGGAACAGGTGCGATGGGAACAGGTGCGATGGGAACAGGTGCGATGGGAACAGGTGCGATGGGAACAGGTGCGATGGGAACAGGTGCGATGGGAACAGGTGCGATGGGAACAGGTGCGATGGGAACAGGTGCGATGGGAACAGGTGCGATGGGAACAGGTGCGATGGGAACAGGTGCGATGGGAACAGGTGCGATGGGAACAGGTGCGATGGGAACAGGTGCGATGGGAACAGGTGCGATGGGAACAGGTGCGATGGGAACAGGTGCGATGGGAACAGGTGCGATGGGAACAGGTGCGATGGGAACAGGTGCGATGGGAACAGGTGCGATGGGAACAGGTGCGATGGGAACAGGTGCGATGGGAACAGGTGCGATGGGAACAGGTGCGATGGGAACAGGTGCGATGGGAACAGGTGCGATGGGAACAGGTGCGATGGGAACAGGTGCGATGGGAACAGGTGCGATGGGAACAGGTGCGATGGGAACAGGTGCGATGGGAACAGGTGCGATGGGAACAGGTGCGATGGGAACAGGTGCGATGGGAACAGGTGCGATGGGAACAGGTGCGATGGGAACAGGTGCGATGGGAACAGGTGCGATGGGAACAGGTGCGATGGGAACAGGTGCGATGGGAACAGGTGCGATGGGAACAGGTGCGATGGGAACAGGTGCGATGGGAACAGGTGCGATGAACAGGTGCGTGGGAACAGGTGCGATGGGAACAGGTGCGATGGGAACAGGTGCGATGGGAACAGGTGCGATGGGAACAGGTGCGATGGGAACAGTGCGATGGGAAACAGGTGCGATGGGAACAGGTGCGATGGGAACAGGTGCGATGGGAACAGGTGCGATGGGAAACAGTGCGATGGGAACAGGTGCGATGGGAACAGGTGACGATGGGAACAGGTGCGATGGGAACAGGTGCGATGGGAACAGTGCGATGGGAACAGGTGCGATGGGAACAGGTGCGATGGGAACAGGTGCGATGGAACAGGTGCGATGGGAACAGGTGCGATGGGAACAGGTGCGATGGGAACAGGTGCGATGGAACAGTGCGATGGGAACAGGTGCGATGGGAACAGGTGCGATGGGAACAGGTGCGATGGGAACAGGTGCGTGGGAACAGGTGCGATGGGAACAGGTGCGATGGGAACAGGTGTGATGGGAACAGGTGTGATGGGAACAGCTGTGATGGGAACAGGTGCGATGGGAACAGGTGTGATGGGAACAGGTGTGATGGGAACAGGTGTGATGGGAACAGGTGTGATGGGAACAGGTGTGATGGGAACAGGTGTGATGGGAACAGGTGTGATGGGAAAAGGTGTGATGGGAACAGGTGTGATGGGAGGCGCTTGCAGGGCGCACCTCGGAGAGCGGCACGAGGCGGTGGGGGCACTGGTCGAGGAAGCAGCGCCACGACCCCGCGGCGTCGCGCCAGAGCACGAGCGGGCGGCCCACAATGGTGATGGCGTGCGGGCGAGTCGCGTCCATGTCAGCCGTCACGCCCACGGCGTACCACGCGCGACTCCACTCCACCGTCCCGCCCTCCTCCGCCCTCCCCTCCGCCGCTGACGCCGCTCTCAGCTGCGCCTCTGCGTCGCCCGTTACAGTCACATCGTCCCTGCTTTCGCTGGACGCCGACTCCGCCGCGGGCGCCGCCCTGGCGACGCGGGACGGCGGGCGATGGGGGGCGGCGGGGCGGGACACGGGCGGGCGCAAGCCCAGCTGTGGCAGGCGCAAGCTGCTCGTGCTGAGTTGGTGGCGACGCGGTTGCAGCGGATGCAGCGCCGCGCGGTGGAGGAGGGGGCGCGGCGCAAGGGAATCTGGGCTGGACGCGACGCGAGCAAACCGGCCCGAGGGACAACGACGCGCCGCCAGTGGCGCCGCAGAGCCGACTGCGGCGCGCGGACGGACGCGACAGCCCAGCGCTGCCTCCATGGCGGGCGGCGGGATCCTCTACTCGGGGGCTCGTCTCGGAAGGATGCGGATGCGCGCTGGACAGCCGGCTCCGAACGGCTGACTCCTCGCACGCACACTGCTCTCTCGGCCTACTGCAGCTCTTTTCTGCGCGTCCCTGCAGCAGCCAGTGCTCGAAGCAGCGAGCGAGCCTGGAGAAGCGCGGAAGTTTGTGAGTCGTGAGTCACGACTGACTAGCTACCAGTGCGCCAGGTTCCGCCTGTTGGAGCGTCAAGTTTTGGATGAGGGGAGTCCCGCTCCTACACTTCTTAAATCCCCAAAGTTACCACATTTAGCGTTGTAACACAGCATTTTACAAAAAGGGCGGACACGACCAGCTTTTGTTCACGAGACGGCACTCCAGCTGCACGTACCTCGAGTCGTGTGACTCACGTTACTACATGCAGCGTGCGCGCGAACTAGGGTCCAGCACTGCGTCCTGCCCACTACAGAGGTGGCCCCTCTAATGGCTCGCACACTTTCGCCAGTACAGCACGAGACTCGCCAAAACCACCTCCGCTTTGGCAAACCACATGGCCAGGCAACTCGCATGTGCAAAAATGCCAGACCTATTCTTCACGAGGGAACCGGTTACCTAGGTTTCCACGCGGACCTGGCACTGTTGAAGTTTGTGTGGGGATATGTGTCCACGCGCTAGTGGGGTGGACCCGGCTCACAGTGCGTTCGTTTCTAGGTACGGTGATCTGTTTTGAACCCCGGCACGTGTTTGGGCACTAAAATTCCCAAAATGTACGCGTTGGACACGCCCTGAGGGCTGGCTATCGCGTTATGTGGAAGGCAGATGCTGGGGTTAGAGCGTGGTACACCTGGCAATGTTTCACGCAGCTAGATCACCAACATCACAACCCTAGGATCATTAGCGGTTAAGGGCGCGGTACACAGTTGTTCAAGAGCTGTTCAAGATGGAAATGACGAACAATGTGTTCAAGCTAGCTTGAACGGGGTTCAAACGAGGTTGGTGAGAAAATTCTGGTCAAAATAAACATTTTGGAACATGTTACAAAAGCGGGTGGACAAGACTCGTCTAAGAACTAATTTCAGTCGAGATGACGAACCTGCCTACAACACTGGAAGTTGTGACTCCTGTAACCGTTTCGCTACCTTCTCACTTACGGGCGACTGCTACTTGGTGCGCGAAAATCCGTTTCGTCGATTATGTTGACCAACGATGCGGTACATAATATTTTTGCTGACGAACGAGTTGTTCAAACCAGCAGTCGTGTGTTCGTCAGCTGGCTGATCAAGACGCGCAACCTTCTTGACCAGCCTAGGTACAACTTACCGTAGTAAACAGGGTACCCAAAATTTGTGTTGTATGATCAAGTCTTGAACAGCTCTTGAATAACTGTGTACTGTGAACATTTTATGGGGACACATCGCATGTATTGGAAATTCGCATTGACCATGTTGACTGCGTTACTGACCGAAACGCAACAGCCTCTGTAGGTAAATTTTCCTTTTCCTTGGAAGGGGTTTACTGCTACGCGTACAACCCCAACATTTCGGACTTCGCACGTTCGGCTGACATCCACCATTCCGAGGCTGCCCCGCGTCGCCCCCGGTTGTCCGCTAGCCAAACCTGCACCCAACCTCGCATCTCCGAGGTTCCCTCCTAGCTACAATAGCTACTATATTATCACGTGCCTTCATTGTATTGTGAGTTCATTGAGTCACAGCCTCGTTATCCGTTTTCCGCGCAACTCTGTTTTACAACTCATACACCTGGTATCTGAGCTACCTACCTAGTTCACCTCGCTTTTCGAGTTTAGTGGCACAGGTTGGCTAGTACAATGGACTGCACGACGTTGGCTGCAAGGTTTGTAATTCAAACCTGCCCGACTCCGATAGTTCTTACCACGGATATGGGCGCACTGACCCGCTACTGAAACAAGCCCTTTTATCCCAATGGTCTAGTGGTTGGGATTCTGACAGAAGCAGTTAACAAAATGATGGTGCAAATGGCAGAAATGCAGGAGAGCATTAAGTCATTGATGACAGAAGTGGAGCATCTACGTTGAGAAAACGTCGAGCTACGACAGACGCAAGGTGAAGCGTGTCAGGAGTCGCCCGTTGAAGAAGGCGATACCACCAGCCATGGCGTGAGTGGCGTCGTTACAAGTGGCAAACTCACACGCAGAAACGACGAGAGCGATAGGCGAGAAGCGCCGGCACCAACAACACTTGCAGTTATTACAATCAAGAAAAAACCCGCGAGCCCGCCCCCGTTCAACCCGACCGACAAGGCGACCACAGTTAAGGGGTGGCTATTTGGCGTAAAGGTTTGATTTACTGCAGCGCGAGTTGACGACGATGCCACTCGTATTAATTACTCGGTTTTGCTTCTCCAAGGACCCACTCTGGAGTGGTGTCGACGTACCTTGGACACGGGGACCCCGACAGGTGTGACACATGCGGCAGACGGGACCTCAACTTCGGCTAATCAAGTGGCAACATCAATATTCAGTGTGACTAGGATTCGCACGTGGAAGGAGTGGGGCGTAGCCTTGCAAGATCGTTTCGAGCACGTATCCGCCTCGGAGCAAGCCCGCATGAAGCTGCGTGCCTGGTCGCAGTTGGCTTCTGTTCAGGACTACCAAGTGGACGACATGGCGGGGCTGGAGCGGTTGGATAAGTATATCAGCGGACTTAATTACGAGATAGAGTATGAGGTTTGCCGATGCCGCCCGACTACGTTCCTGGAAGCCGTACGGCTGGCAGGATCTACAGATGCGCTGATGCAGTGGGCGAGGGGAGGTTCCCGGGAGGGAAACCGTTTCGCAAACAGACCCAACGGGCCACAATCAACGGAGTCCATGCACCCGACCGCCCCTTTCCGGGGCTGTGTTATAAGTATGGGAAATCGGGTCACATCTCTAGAGACTACCACGAGAAAACGTCGGCGAAAAGGAACGACGGGAAAGAGCCAGGAAATAGGAAGAGTCTGTGATATACGGGCCCCTTACCGACTGTGCTCTGTCGCCCAAACTTCACCATCCCCACCGAGTCGTGGTTCGATTCATGCAACGACGCCGGACGGCTGCGACGTGCTTCTGAGACATGATCGGCTGCGACTACACAACCCCATCATCGACTCGACGACGGAATCGTGCAGTATCAGCAAGCACGATGGGCTCATTACATTACCTGCATGGACCCCGGACTACATTCAGGCCCAGTGCGTCAAAGCCATCACTATTGCCCGCCATTTCAATCGAGGCGCGCAGCTGTTTGCTGTGTGTTTGCGCGAGTTGGCAACTGACACCGACGGAAAGGACATCGAGAAGCTGTGCACAGGACGCCCCGAGGACCACAAAATACACAGTAACCTGGCGCGCAACTGACTGTTCGTACACAGTGGCGACTGACTCAGCCGGAACTCGAGGAGCTACGAAGCCAAATTGACGGACTGTTGGAGAAGGGGTTTATATGACCCAGTACATCTCCCTTCGCAGCTCCGATCATGTTTACGCCGAAAAAGGACGGCGGCCTTCGCATGTGCATCGACTGTCGTGCGCTCAACAGGGCCACCATCAAGTCCCGCTATCCAATCCCACGTACCGACGACCTCCTCGATCAGCTTCGCGGTGCTCGCTCTTTCTCGAAAATCGACTTCGTGGCGGTTACCACCATATTTGGGTCTTCGCCGACGATTGCTACAAGACCGCGTTTTGAAACCGCTACGGAAGCTACTGTCAGAATAGTGAAGGAAGGAGTGACTGAACTAGCAAGCAGGTGGGTACAAGTAGGAAACCTAAAAGTGTTGTACCCTATATGAACTACCCCACTACAGCCTACACAGGCTATAGCATATAAGTTTGACACACCCCCATAGGCAAAGTGGGGGAGAACAAGAGGTCAGAAGACCGGTCAAGAAAGGCAAAGCAAGCTCAGGGTGGATCACGACGTCACCACGCATTCTGAGCACAAGAAAATGGCCACAAGGCCAGTTCACATGCAGAGTTATATAAAGGAGAACAAGCAATACAGTGATCACAACCTAGCAAGTGTAAGCATGCAGGTATATGTATAGAGATCACAGTACAAGCAGAGTCAAGAAGTAAGCAAGTGAGGCACAGTAGGCACAAGGCCTAGAACAGTACAGAAACGCTGATGATCACAAGGCTGAAGTGCCTTGGTGAAGACATCAGCAGTGTTGGCCCGAGTGGCCACGTAAGCAAGATGAAGCTGACCACGCTGCTGCAACTCTCGAGCAAGGAAGTAGCGCAGAGCGATGTGCTTCGTTTTGTGCTCCAGTCTGTGCTCCTGACACAAGGCAATCATGGCCTTGTTGTCGACGTACAGCACTGGAGGAGAACGAGGCGGCTCTCCCAGGTCGGTCAGCAGGTAGGTGAGCCAGCGTAACTCCTGTGCAGCCATGGCCCCTGCGTAGATCTCAGCCTCACAACTGGAGCTGAGAACAGAAGACGAGCGGGTAGACCGCCAAGAAACAGAGCCGGAGCCAAGGCTGAAGGTGTAACCCTGTGACGACCGCTGCGTAGCCAAGTCGTCAGCCCAGGAAGCGTCTGCGTGACCAGTGAGGACAACTCGAGCCCGTCCTCCAAGCACAAGCCCCATGCCCGACGTACGGCACAAGTAGCGCAACACCTTCTTAGCGGCATCCATGTGCTCCTTCCTGTGTCTGCCAGGAGCGACATAGCGTGCTAGAATGTTAAGAGGGTAGGCAAGGTCAGGTCGAGTGCAGGTCATCAGGTACATGAGGCAGCCCACAAGCTCTGGATACGGGCCACTCGGCTCTACGGACTCGTCCGAAGGTGGAGCTGAGAGCGAGTGACCGGTAGGCAGAGGAGTGGACTGTGGCGAGGAGTACGTGAAGCGGAAGCGCTGAAGGACCTGCTGCACCATGTGTGACCGAGTCAAGGTAATGATGCGCTGTGCTCTGTCCCGGGTGATCCGCAAGCCAAGATAGCTTGTCAGCTCACCCAGGTCTGTGCACGTGTGTCTCTTCTGCAGCTCCGACTTCACGTGGGCGAGTCCCTCAGTGTCAGCAGTAGCAAAGACCAGGTCGTCTACATACACGAGAACGTAGAACGGCGGCAGAGTGGTGTCGGTGCGTAGAAACAACGACGGGTCGGCAGTAGAAGGAGCAAACCCAAGAGCAGCAAGAGTCGTCCTCAGTGTGTCGTGCCACTCACGGGGTGCCT